GGCATGCCTTGAAATTAATCGAAGTGACGCAAGCTGGGAACACACTGCTGCTGCTTCAATTGGGAACAACTGCGGCCCTCGGCTTGATCACATCACAATTGCAAAATGAAAGAGAAAAAAAAAGAGGCGAAAGGAACAACTGCTTTATCAAAAGTTCTAACCGACAAATGTAAACCCAGTTAAACTCTAGAAAGCCAGGGAACCGAAGTTTGTCTTAACAGTACAATTTAGTCCACTTCCATAACTTCAAAACAAAATATGGATATCCTCTTCAACCATTTTGACTGAAAAGGAATATTGTCTCTGCATGAACGAATTCCAAGGAAGTCTAACTTCAGAAATGTAATGAAGTATTATCAATGCAATCAATTTATAGTTGAAAGACATCAGTACACTGCTAGACCAATAAGACATTTCCTATAGCAAAGGACTGAAAGTAGCATTAGGAATTCAATACGTGCTCTGTTGACATGAGCTACACTTTCTCGGACCATACACAGAATGAGTGGCAACTTTTCATTACGCTAAACAAAGATCCAAACATTATGACAGATAAAGCAAACCCAACTAGTTAAAAAATAAAAAAATAAAACATTCTAGCTTAACGAGAAAATAGGGAGTTTTAGAATATCGGGCGCTACCTTACCGCGCGTTACGGACGACAAAATAAGGAGGATTGCGGCGAAGAGTTTTAGAATAGCGTTTCTCTGAAGGGGACCCCTCCAAACGCAAGCATCTCGCGCTTAAAACGCCACCAAGATGTCGCGACAGCTTTTATTTGAAAGTTAGAATGTTTTATCTTAAAAATTAAACAAGCTTTTTGTCCAGAGTAACATTTTTATAGTTTTTTTACACTCAATGCCGCATGTTTTGTTTTTGTCGCTGCCAAGCTGCTCTGCTCTGTTGTACTTACGAAGCCCAGACGATCCACCACCCAGGCATGCTTACATGTCTGCCGCGATCGTAAGTACACGCGCCTCGATAGCTTTGCGCGTCGATAGCTTTGAGCTGTGAATCCAGCGATCCGTGGCGTTTTCAATACGCTTCGACCATACCGACCGCGGTCGCCGAGTGCGACTCACGCAGTTCCCGAGTGGGCGACGGCGTCGAAGACGCGATCAACAGAGATGTCGTGGGCGCCGCCTTTTGCGGTACGCCGCCTTTCGCGGTACCCACGCTATTATCGAGAAATAACGGGCCCCAAAGCTCGAGTCCGAAGCTTGTTTTGGGTCTGCGCATGTACAGCAGCCACGAGATTATTCTAAAACTCCATAATGTTCACTTCTCGTTCAACGCGTACAACGCAAACAAAGAAGTATGCTTACCAATTGCGTCGAGTTGCTCGTTCTGTCGCGTCGTCAGCCTTCCGCGCTCTTCTTGAACGTAATCATCACAAGAGAAAACTTCACAGATAGATAAACTTGATTAAATTAGCACATTTCCATGTCCAAAGGCATTTCCATCCCGCGACATACCCAACGGTCGGGAAACTTGCAAGACCATGGCGGAAAAAAAAAAAAAAAAAAAGAACTGGTGTTGCTACCGATGGGGCGTCGAAGACGCGATCCTTAAAATATGAAACCGAAACCAGTAAAAGTTCCAATACTGAAACCGAAACTGACCAAATCGCGGTAGGGGGGTGCCGTAAATAGGTCTGTTCACATGATGCATCGTGTTGGCGATTCACACGATGCATCGTGTCGCAAAACTAAGTTTCGGGAAACAGATTCCCCGTCTGAACTCGACCGAAAAAGTGGCGCGCCTCAAAAAAAGTGGCGCGTGTTTCTCGCTTCTGCAGCAATTTTTCGCTGAAACCTCACCGACGCCCGTCAATCTCCCGAAGGAGAAACGCGGACGCTGCCAATGGCCGCTCGACTTCGCTATGACGTCTGACCTTCGAGGAGGAGCGAGCTTTTGGAGGAGTCTGATTTTCGGCCGATCCCGTATCCGAGCTTTGCCGAAAGAAAACAAACGAACATGGCGAGCGACAAGCGGTGCGTACGGGCGACGAGTCTTGGTCCTACTCGGTTGCAGGTGTGTGAACGGCGCCTACAGTACGGATTGGGGTCGCGGTGCAGATTCGTCAACAGTCGCGGCGGGTGCAAGCACCGCATATAAACATGATGACTGGGGATAACGTTCTTTATTAGCGGTGTAAAAATGTCCGAAATGCTTCGAGATCATCTCGCGGTTTTTCCCGAGTTTGGCAAGACTAGTAAACCCAGTGAGCCGAATCTGACGAAATTCATTGAGTGGCATTAATAAAACAGGGTGTCCCTTCACACTGTGCGTACTTCATATCATTTTGATGCGAAACGCTTCTTATTCCCGGTGCAGATGGCAAGGTTTGGCGAAATTCTCGTGAGTCAATACGTCACAGGTTTCGCGCGTCAAACTCCACGTGTGAACAGGCCGATTTCGCGAAATCTTGGTTTCGCTAAACTGTGGCGCGTTGAAGAGATACATCGTGTGTATAAGCCTTTAGGAGTAAAAGAGGGTGAATACAGTTATTATTTTAAGCACAGGAAATAAATCTGTATATCAGAACTAGCACCGACACGCTATTTGTTTCGGGTGCAATGCAGTCGGGAGTAGATTTATTGACTTTTTTTATAACACTCATTTCATTGTGTAATGAGTAAACTCAAAAGAATTGCTATTGATAGGGTAACGATAAACCTCACTTGAATTTGTAATGAGTAAACTCGAAAGAATTGATATTGATTGGGTAACGATAAACCTCACTTGAATTTGTAATGAGTAAATTCAAAAGAATAGATATGGAGTGGCTAATGATAAAACTCATTTAATGATGAGTTTCTTATGAGTTTCATTTGACTCTATAAAAACACATTAGAAGCTCAATTGAAACTCATTGTTCATTTTTGTAAGGGACCCGAGATTTTGCGGTCGTTGAGTGTGAACGTGAGGAGCCCGTTTCGCTAGTGGCACGAAGTCAATACGCTACGAAAAATTGCCACGGTCTGTGGGGTGCCTTTCGGAACGACGTAAACAATCTACAAAACTCTACTCGTTATCGCCATCACTAAAGGAGTTTTATCTCCGCCATATATTCCATATAGCTGGCAAGGAACGTTCTGAAAAAAAAAAAACGCTTCTTTCTGGTATGCTCCACTCCAATTATCGAGTTGTAGAATATCGCACGCAAAAGCTTTGCGTACGCAGATAAATAGCATCGTCGCTATGCCCAAACAAAAAACCGCGGTCTGGGCTCATCGCCTACGCAGTGGTGAAGGCGCTATTTATTTGCGTACGTGAAGTTCTTTGCGTATGCTATTCTTAAATTCGCTAATAGAGAATTTTAGTATATTATTACGATACGCCCGACATACCTCCCCTACCCCCGATAACGATACCCGTGAATGATACGGTGAGCAGAGGCGGCGGCGGACTATCGGGTTTCGTTATCGGAGTCATCGGAACCAGTGGCCTAGCCGGGGGGGAGTCTTATCGGGCTTCAGCCCACCCTCCCCCACGCAAAAGAAAAAACACATCCCAGCTTATAATATACACATCCATGCCACCCTCCCCCCCCCCCCCCCCCCCCCCTCCATCTTTTTCAGTATCCCAAGTCATTGATATCCCAGCCACTTTAGCCTTCTGAAAAAAATTCCTGTTTACATCAAAACGATCTACTAAAACTATATATTGTTCCTGCAGGGCGGCAACAATAGGGAGTTCTCGCAGACCACGTTTCCCCCTCCGCTCAGCCGTCCGCAACAAAGAAGCCGCTACTGCCCCTGCGCGCCGATGGCTTTGACTGTAGAATTCGGGTGCAGCCCTAAATAACCCATTCCCGTTTGAAAGCGTCCCGTTTCGACCCATTCCCAAAACGACCTTCCCTTTTGAACCCGTCCCGTTTCGACCCAGTCCCGAAACTCCCTTCCCATTTGAACCCGTCCCGTTTCAAACCGTTCCCGAAACGCCCTTCTCATTGGAACCCGTATTCGAAACATCCTTTGCGTTCGAACGCATCCGGTTTCAACCCATTTGTATAAGGCCCCGCACATCCCAACCTCTTCGCGAAAAGCCTCCTTAGCTCTAAACCCTGGTCTGCTCACAAGAATACGTTGACATGCAAACAGTTTTGCATGGTAACGTATTCTAAAAATATACAACCCATTCAGACAAGCTTATAAACTTAATATATCCCTACTTCAACCACTTTAAACTTTTTTTTTCAAGATGGTTATCAAGACGTGCAAGCACGAAACGGACTGTGTACTCTGCGCGACAGATGGTACCGTGAACACAACGTTGCTCGCGGTAACAAATGGTATTAGTACGCACAAAATTTCCCCACTTAGGTTAGTCGCCCAGATGAGCACTTTCAAAGACACTATTAGCTTTGATGGTGGCAGCCTTTTCGTTTTATGAGATAAACATAAAAAATGACGTTTGCTTGTCCGCGCTAGTAGTGCCGCGCTCTGTACAATATAAGGGCGTCTTAAGCCTGATTCAGACAGTTGCGCTTGACTGCGTTGCGGCTGCCAGAAACCAGGACGTCCCAGCTGCTTATATCGCGAACCAAGATACTTCCTTGAATTGGATTCCACGCTTCATGCGAAGCACAGATGTGCCGGTGACTCGCTTTCGGTTCTGGACGCAACGCAGTCAAACGTACTCAAACGCAAGTGTCTGACCTAGCCTTTAGAATAACGTACACAAACACTTTGAGTAAGCTAAAATTAGCATCGCACTACCCGGCATGGCCCGGGTCCCGGCATGGCCCGGGTCCCGGCATGGCCCGGGTCCCGGCACGGCAGTAACCATACCGGTATAACGCTCAAGCTGCGCTAAACCAATCATTTCTCGAGACGCGGAGTACGACGCACCGGTCGCCGCCACCGAGCGTCCACGTTTCACCGGCGTGAGCCTGGGATCCGGGAGACAAAAGAAATCGGCCACACAGGATGTGCAACGGGATACCGCGAGGGGAATGCGCTCCGCGCGGGCCGCCGCCACTCCGGGGACCGGCCATGGCGTCTCTCGCGGTGATGGTGGTGGCCGCTGCTGCCCTGCCCGCCCTGCTCGAGGCTCGGGTGCTTCCCAAGGACGTGTCGCTCTACAGGGGTGACATCGAGATGCCAGGTGACGTTTCGACTTTTCTCACTTGGGAAGAGTAGTGAGTACGTCGTGTGTGTCGCTGAATTATGTTTTCATTTTTTTTTTCTAAATTATTATTTTCCGTCATACCCGTGCAAAAGACACGCTCTTTGCTGCAGACATGACGGCAGGAGAAGCTAACTAGTTTTCTTTTGTGGTACGGACTGTAACTGTAACAAAAAGAAGAAAAAACAAACCCATGCAGGCAAAATCGCTGGGACTCCATGTGCTTTACATCATTAGACGAAGACAAAACAACCCCGCGAGACTGTGTTCAGCGGTCTATGTTTTTTTGTGTTTTTTTTTTTATTTACCCGTTATGTGAAAGGAAATTTAAGGTGAAGAGAATCCTGTGATGCGGTTAGCACTAATTTTTGGTCCATATTCCACATCCCCGTAAAAGCAAAGTATCAAGTATGACAGGAATCTTAAAACAGTTCCCCGAGTTTACTAATATTTTGGAAACAAGCGCTGTTATTCCGAGACGATGCTTGTTCACCTGCTAAGTCACAATCGCAACTGCTGTTTGGACTAAGCCTAAATAAAAACGAGCAAAGAATCAGTTACGAATACAAGGTGCCACATGACGAGAATGCGGTTACCACGTTGCTAAAACAACTTAAACCTAAACAAATCGCCGGATTGTTGCTGAAAGGATAAATGACGTGTAAAACGAACACAACGTTTAGGAATGGCACTCAAACATGGATTCATTCTAAAGCCTTTGAAAGGCTTTTGAGTAGTTGTTTTAAATTTTTCTTTTTACAGATCAGTTCACTGTGCTAAGGCTAGGTCATAGTTTAAAGCAGCTTCGCGAAGAAGATCATCCTGCCAGTCGAGTGTTTCTTATTGGATGTTATTTTATATTATTCATTCTAGATGTCATCGAGGGTGACATCTACATGCCACCAATCACATCGGTAAGGTTAAAACCAAATGACCTTCCTACGGGTGTTTTCTTGGTGAACATAACAAATAAACACTCATGCCGGCTCAATGTAAATAGTGGTCACTAATTTAGACCATCGATCTAAAGACATGCCCTGCCTTTAACTGTTAAAAATTAAAAGATAAATAAGGAGCCGTTGTGCTCTTTATGATTTTATTGCGATTCGTATTATTTTCTCTCTTCCAAATTAGGTTCCAATTACTCCTAACTTACAAAAATATTCTGGAACAGCAGAACAGTAATAAATTCTTTAATATATAATATGTCAAACTCAATCAGGAATAGATTATAACAACTATTATATTGGCAGTTGCCATTTGGAATGTTCGCGCCTTTTTCATAGTTTGACCTCATGCAAAATATGGTGTATTCATTAAAGCGACCTGCCCAACAACTTTAAGACCAAATTAATCTGAATTTTTTTCGGGCTCTCTATAACAAGTACACTATTGCACTGAATCATGTTATCAGTTTTAGAGACGATCAGGCAAGGTATGACAAAGAGCTACTTTTCATGGCTCAAAAAACAAGGCTGCAATTAAAACACTGCTCTCGAAACAGTAAGTGGTAATGGCCGGTGCAAATATACAATTTTTTCTGCACTTCTAAAGTGCACATTATTTATATCTCGATACCTGTTGAAAGCTCAGCATACGGTTTTTAGCAGGGCATCTTAAATTTATTTTTTTATGGGGTGATACCCGTTCTTGAAGCAACCGACGCCGATACCATGCGATACAGAAAGAATGCAAAATACTCTTATTCAAAATGGTGGCTAAGTACCGGCCAATGCTAAGAGCGCATGCCGGGAGAAGTTCATTCACATGTTTCAAAACATTAAAAAAAAATACATTGCGCTACAAAATGAGTCAGACGCGGTTCTCCTGGTTATGGGGTCTCCAACCGTTCATTGCCTGTCCTTGACCCACCGCGACCGCAATTGCGCAGCTATCGGACCTGCGTGCCCGGACCAAGGAAACCCCGCTGTGGCGCCAGGGCGTGGTGCACTTTGTCATCGACCAAGCCTTCGGTCAGCTACGACAAATTGAGCCTTCGGTCCTTGGCGACCCGCCGTGGCAAAAGCGCCCTGTGCGCGGCTCTTTGCGCAGACTCCTGGGAGAAGGAGGAGATCATGAGCGCCATGCAGCAGATTGAATCCGTGTCCTGCGTGCACTTCAAGGAACGCACCAACGAGGAGGGCTTCGTTCACATACTCAGCAGTCAGGGGCGAGTACCTTCATCTTGCGACAGCTCATACTTGAGAACGACCTCGCGTGATCAGCATCGAAATCTGGCGGCGGGGAAGAGCAGGATGACATTTGTTCATCGCCTGCGATAATTTCGAAAGGACGACGCCGAGTTTCCCACCTCACATGCGGCTCGTGGATATTTTTCTTTTCTTTTACTACTTCTGAGCCTTACAACGCTTCTGTGTTAAACGTCATGCAAAAGCGACTATACGGAGAGCAAGTTGTCTGCTTCTTGCGCTGAGTTGCGGTGACGTCAGAAGGACGCTGAGCGATGATTGCCTCTAGTTGAAGGATAGTGGGTAGACTTCAAGGCAAGCAGCCTTAAGGCCTATCCAGTATCCTTCATTCAGAACCAATCAGAGGTCGGCGTTCTGACGCCACCACAACCCCGGCAAAAGAAGGAGACGAACATGCACTCCCCATAGCCATACATAGTGCGTATAATCTTCTTACCTGATGATTCGTTTTTCAGCGTTCTTATCGGTTAACGCAGCAGTCCTGTTGGCTGCGAGGAGCGACACTAAGGTACTCGGGACCAAAATTGGATTATTTGTCGCCTTATGCGTTATGTCTTACGACGCCAACTGTTTACTTCGAGCATTGCGAATGAGTGCTGACATAAGATTACTTTTACAAAAAATTCCGAAACACGTCATTACTCATAAAATGTGCGTAAAAAAACAAAAAAAAAACTTTTCCTTTTTATTGTATTTCTTTTTAATTAAGTTCGACCTCAGCCCACGCTACACTTCGATTCAAGCAACACATTACTTCCTTTCTTTTTTTTTCGTTTTTCTTTTTCTGTCTTTTTTTTTTTTTTTTGAAGGGGGGGGGGTATTAGTTTTTAGTGGCGTATCCGCTCTGCTGTATGTGAGGGATGGCATGTAGCGCATGTGTTCTGTCCCCCGCCCTGCAGCTGTTTCTCCGAGGTGGGCATGTCCGGACTTCGGCAGCTGGTGTCGCTCAACTTCGAGGTGTGCGCCACGTACGGCACCATCGTGCACGAGCTCCTGCACGTGCTCGGGCTCTGGCATGAACAGTCACGCGCCGACAGGGACCGCTACGTCCGAGTCGTCTGGAACAACGTTGTTCCCAGTAAGTTCGCGTTGTTATACTCACGTTCCGGACACTAAGACGTTGCGGAGTGTTCTGATCTTGTAAACAGAACCCAACATTGAGCTATACAAATATGCCGTGGCATGCAGGTGGCTTAAGATGCGGTACTAATGAATCGGTAATGGTCACGATACCCAAGCTATTGTCCACTGACAAAACCAAGAAACGCAAAGCGTGACTGATAGAATATTGAAGCTTTTCGCTTCGTGACTTGTTCATCGGCGTTCATATCGGCTAATGCCGCAACCTGATTGCCTGTGGGGCGATCATAACATTCCCCGAGTTAACCATGTCCGTGCGTTTTTAAACATTCTATTGATTATAGATACACATAAGCGAATACAGCGACAATATGAGATTTGTACGCCGGGACTGAAAAAGCTACTTTTAAAGAGGCACTCGTTGAAGTGAATTTTAAGCTGTCACTTGACAAGGAAGGTTTATACGGTGAAGCGGCACCTTATGCGAGGGGCTGACAAAGTAGAGTGTCCAGGCCGGGTTTCAGTCAGATTCTTATCAAATTCTTATGACAAGAAAGAAGCGTCTGCCACGGAGCAGGGGTACGACACAAAAGCGTGACCTCTCGCAGGGACAGAGAAACGCCGGGCTTCTTAGAGAGTTTCCCAATAGGGGGACTTAACGCTTCGGGTCTTCCCCAGCCGCTTAGGGTGTCGCATAGAGCACGCGCAGAACTTATGTGCGTGCGCAGTTCAACACACTGAGCGGCTGGGGGAGACCCAAACTTCACACTAGGGAGTTTTACAATAGTGGGCCCGAACGCTTGGGAGCACCCAAAATAGCTCGGGGCGCTGAACTGCGCAGGCGGAAGACATCTGCGAATGCGCAGTGCGACACTCTAAGCTGTTTGGGAGATTCAAAGCTCTACCGTCCCTTTGCAGAGTGCGTTCGCGTGTATGCTGCCCGTGTAGCGAATAGACTTTTCCGGAAATAAGTGGTGCCTCCACCGTCTGCGTGATGCATCCTGACTTTTCGATGTACGGCACGTGGGATGGTCCAAGAATCAAACACTACTTTGAGATTTTAGAAAATTTATGAACGCAGAGCAACACAAAATGAAAGCAAACGGAGTATGTGACAGCGTAATTTTGTGTTTGCTTTATTTTACAGCGGAGCTGTTCAGGGCTAGTTTCCCAAGGATCGTGTCCGGTACCAAACAAATGTCGACACCCGTGGCCGACACAAAACTCTGGTTGCCGCCGTCCCTCATAGATGGCGGTAGCTGTCCAGAGTGTTGTGTTTGCCGGTTGTCTGCTTGCCGCCGTCGCTCATACATAGCGGCAACATTTCTTCGGAGGAAGAAGAGCAGGAACGGAACGAGCGGCGATGTGCGCAGCAGCGCGAATGGTTTTGCAACCGCCACGAGGCCGCTATCGCCTAAAGTTCCACTGCCGTCGAGCGCTTCAGATTTTCCTGCAAAAGAAGAGCAGATCGTTCGCCTGGAAAGCCACCGCCGAGAACAGAAGCTACAGCTCCGCTGCTCTTCCTTCTTCATCAAAGTAAAAAGGCTAAAAGTTTTTTTTTTTCACTGTTAAGCTTCTAATGGTAAGGGAGGAAGAATCGCGCCGCTTCCTCGATATACGAAGTATTCGAATCGGCACGAGCCTACACCGGAACAACCCCACAATTCTTCTCACAGCACCGCGAAGTCTCCTTAAATTTTCCGAAAAAGTCAATAGACTTTTGCAAAAAGAGCTCTCTGACCGCTGCCATTCTGCGATTCAAGCGACCCCTTTCGGACAGAAATTTCTGCCACCCGCCGGAGCGGTGGGAACCCAGTCAGCGCGACTCCCCGCCTGCATTACGCATTCGGAGTTCACCGGCTATTCTTGAAAGTTTTTGTTTTATTCGCCTGTTCAAGATGTTTACACTTTGGGTGTTATCTTCCACTGTGAGCGCCCGGGAATACCAGGGCTCGCAGCCTGCTCGGCCTTCGCAAGAAACGAAAGAAGAGAGCGAACGTCAAGCAGCTCTCGACGCGGACCGTTTGACGTTCTTCGAGGATTACTTTCTTTGAGAGAGCCTCCGAAAAGCCTTCCTGGTTATGTCCCGGGTCTTCAAGACGAATAGGTGATAGGATTGGGTCCGGGGTGTGGGGACGGAATACGCACGTTCGTCCATTTGCTTTGGTACTGCGCAAAAAGGCAGCTTTCTTCAACACGTGCCCCATACAAGCCGGACTCTGTCCGTTTGTCGTGAAGTGACAATCGTCGAAACACTATATAGGATTTGTTGCGTGATTTCAGACCTTACTCAAACCCTGTTTTAATAACGCGGCACCGTGGGATACGAACAATATATATTGTTCGATTGATGAGACTCGTTGAATTCGGCTATCCGTGCAGTTCGGCTAGCCTGTGGTGCGGTCAAATATTTTCGGCAGTTAAGACCTTCGCAAATTGACAAGGCTGAGTATATAATGCCGTAAAAAGATCAACATAAAAAAAAATTCCACTTGCATTTGATCTGTCGCGGACGGACTCACCAAAACAGCTTTAATTTGTTCGCTTTTGTTCCCAAATATAGTAAGTGCAACGCGTTTTTAAAAACCCCAAGAAATCCTATTCGCTATAGAGCACAAAAGAAAAAAGAAAACGCGGCAATTTAGCCGCCACTAGCGTCCGGAAGTGCCCTTGCGCAGGCTGACCCAGCCCACTGACGAGAAAACCCACAGCCCAGCGCTGTCGGGCAACACTGACGTACACTCTCAAAACCAGGGACGTGCACTGTAAATCGCTTCGTTCGAGATTACCGCTGGAAAGGTCTATAGGCGCCTTTCGAAAGTCAGGTGCCCTTTGTTAAAGGGTCTGAAGAAATACACAGTGGCGGAACAAGCGACACCACAGAACTGAAATCCTCAAACTACATATGCTAGAAATGAAGTTGCATGCTCAGACTGGTCTGCAGTTCGAAGGTTGGAAATGTCTATTCTATCCACCATTGTGCAGGCATTTCACAGCTTCGAGCTGTGGGAAGACTTTCGAAGGGGGTCTATTCTACACAGGTCATTAAAAAAAAAAGGGGGGGAGGGGGGGGGGGGGGGCTAGAGACTGGTGTCACTTCAGGTGTTCGGGCGTAAGGGTCGTGCTGAACTGTGAAGATTGCGCGCGAGCTGTGATTATGTAAGCATACGGCGAGCAAGTGTTCGCTTATGCGTCTTTCGCGCATCCAGAGGGCAACATAGAGAACGAGCAGGAACCACGCGATTACGAGGCATCCAAGTATGCACCGACATTGGTGATACTAGGGAGGAAACAAAAGCACATGGCACATCTGGGCAACAAACAAAAGCACGAAGTGCGAAAAGAGCAGACGAACTTGCAGGCCCTATTGGAAGTGTGTCTATGATTAAGATTTTCACCGCAGAATACGCGACAGTTTAATCTAAAACCTTTCGTTGCATTTCCTCAGTCACCACGCCACACTCTCAAAAGCCTTTCTTCTTCTTTTTTTTCAGCATTACGTTTGTAGCGTTAACACATGCAGGCCGATTTCTCACTTCGCAGGATTCAAGGCGAACTTCATGAAAACCAACCGAGTGCCGTACCTGAACGAGGACTACGACTACGAGTCGATCATGCACTACTTCTTCAACGCTTTTTCCAAGGACCCCGAGCAGGCCACCCTGGTGCCGAGAAGCCGCGGCATCGAACTGTTCAACCTGGGGCTAGCCTTCAAGGAGAACCGGATGACCAAGGTGGACATTCACAAGCTGAACACGATCTACAGGTGTCCCGTCGATACGGTGCCGCACGCCAATGACGGTAATAGAGAGAAGGAAACGGATCATTTCAGTCTAAATTAAAACTGCAATGACTTACTGCAGTCTTTTCATTCGGTGGCGATTTTATTCTCGATCAAAAATCGTCCGAAATTTTTTTCTCGATTGGTATGAGAGTCGCAGAGTCCCATATCTAGCTTACCGGCACGGCTGGGCTGTAAGTTGGCAAATGTTAAATTGAAAGGGTTGTTAAATTGGAAAAAAAAGATGTGTATTTGAGGTGCTTACGGCGCTCAGAAGGAAGCTAGTATAGACGCTTTCAGGCAGCTGTGCATGGGCGTCGCCATAACCGACCTTCAGTTTTTGTTCTCTCTTATTCCGTTCGCTCCACTTCATCATTGCGACAGCAGGACAGGTTATTGCCATTTTAAGTGTCACTGTGTTCTTCTCCCCAGCATAGGCCCTTCTGGAGACTCGTCAACGCCCGATTCAGTGGCTCCGCATCTGGGTAAGACAAGAGAAGGTCGGCTATGGCGGCTCAATTTGGCGCACGCTGAAAGCGTCTATAACTACGATAAAGTAAATGTGGAGCTAAAAACACAAGATATGCTGCCCAATTTGTGTTTGCGTAAACATCCAGGTAAGGCACGAGCTGCTCGAAATTATGCCGAGTGAAAAATGTATGAGAGAGTGAGAGAAAGACAATATTAAATTTATTCAATGCGGTTCGTGATCTGCTCCAATGCGCCAATAAAATACTTCTGGCTGGTGTGAATTTCGGAGTTAGTTTGTCACGCACGTGATTGGCTCTCTTCCGAAAACTGCAATACTCGCCTATAGGCGTGTTACTGTGGTAGATGAATGCTGAACGGTAGGCAACAATTAGATACGTTAAACCCGTTTTGGATTTAATGCTTATATTTCGTTTCAGCCTAGGTTAAGACAACGGCCGATGCTACAAGCGAGCACGTGGCCCTGAACAGTACCTGCACTGCACAAGTGCGCGTGCTCGGCAGGAAAGCTGAAAGCCCGGAGCTCGCGCTTGTATCATCGGCTTTCATTCTGGACCTAAGCTGAAAGGAAGTATTGTTTCGAATCAGGAAGCTTTAGTACATCGTTCTGATAACCCTGATAACAATACCCGATACTCCGCCGACTCCTTTGAGCATGCATCGTATCGTTATCGGGGTATCGTTATCAGAGGTATCGTGACGAACTACTAAAACTCCCTATTATGGTTGTGTGTCGTCCTATCTTTTCCTAGTTGCTTACTCCACGGATCGCATAAATGATGATGATACACAAATTACGTTGTAGACAAAGAGCAAACAAAAACTAATTAGTCAGTTGTTTACACAACAGGAGTTTAGACTGCCAAAATATGGTGACATTGTTGCCCACTGTAGATAAGAAATTTAGCCAGTGCAGTATACGACGGCTAACTTGGGATCTTTAACGTGCACCGCGCAGTAGTGGTACACGACCGCGCTCCGGTACGATGCTCATCTAGATCGAAACGGGCAGGGGTGGGGATTGAACCCAGGATCCCTGGGTAGGCAAAAAATATAATCTTAGATTGTGGAAACCAGCTGAACTTACAGAAAAGGGTGAGGAGAGAAAGGAGAAAAGGCATCCGATCGCTGGTCGATCGGATGCCTTTTCTCCTTTCTCTCCTCACCCTTTTCTGTAAGTTCAGCTGGTTTCCACAATCTAAGTATGTACAACCAACTAGCTCAGCTCCTTCCCATTGCAAAAAAATATAATGTTATGTAGGCAAAAACTGGCCCAAGCAAGGAAGAAGAGGGCGAGAAAGCGAGTGTCGGAGGAATGAACGTCATTATATAGCCAGCCGGCAACAACCAGGCGGCGCCAGCAGGGCGAGAGCCCACGGTTATACCCTGTCTCTTTGTAACTTTGAAAATGGGCAACGATAAACACCACATTGTGTGCCGAAGGCTTCGAAATGCGCGACGTATACGAGCGCAACGCACACATATTGGAGCATGACGCAGCGAAAAGCCTGATACTTCTGCGGAGTAGAGGCGCGTTTCGAGGATACACAGTCACGTTCCCATTGGCCCACCAGGGCCGTAGCTTCCGCTGTACTGGCATGTTACGCGATCACGGCTTCCTAGGATACCCAGTATTTCTTGCTTCAGACACTAGGCTAAGCGGCGCCACCAGAGTAAAAACTCACGTTTGAACAATGCAGCCGCCACTCCCAGGGGTACCCAATATTTCTTGCTTCAGCCGCTAGATGTCGACAAAACAAACAGCATTGCAGGTTGGCTATACTCGGGGACAACTTTTTCTGTCATTGTCGAAGAAGTGAGGACCGCGCGAGTACAGCGGTGATCGGCGCTCAACGTTCTCGAGCGCAGGGGTATCTATAGCTTTGACTTCATTGCCAAGGGAAGTGGTCCTTAAGTATAGAACTTGAGGACGAAATTTATACAAACGAAACCATCATAGCCATCAGCTACGTGTTTATGTTTCTTACTTCCTGGTTTGTTTATCGGCGTTTATATCCACTATATTCCATCTCACTAAAACCGCACAGTACAGCCAAAGCTATAGGGGAGAAAGCATAAGCAAACCTGTTAAAGAAGAGGGAAAGGGGGAACGGAAGAGGGGGGCTGAATATCACTCGTTACTCCTTTCCCTCCTCTTGAAGAGGTCGGGATACGCTCCCTCCCCTGTAGCCTTGGCTGTACTCCACGGTTTTAGTGAGGCGAGGTATAATGCCGCGATTTCTCCGGCTGCGAAGTCATTGAGATTCCGCATTGCAATTTACAAGGAGCGATACACAATGTTTCTGTGATACCTGTCATTTTTTGCATCTACATTCGCGTGCGCTCACGCAAATAACTTTGACGGGGCTTCAAGACCTACGCCAGTCTTGACAACGCAGGACAAAAAATGTGCCTCCCGTGCAAAGGAAACCCCAAAAGGAGCCATGCGCTCGCCCATGTATACCTTTGACAGTTTTGTGGAAACTACCCTAGCGTTTACCAACGCTGGCACAACAACGTCCCACAAAAAGGCTGATTTCGAGTATAGGCACTTCTGCGAGCGGGCACAGCACCACTGATCTCTATGAGAATTTGCTGGATCGCGCATCCCTGTTTGGTCCCTGCAGAGCAAGTACAGTGTACTACAGTCGGCGACAGGTCAACAACGAAGTGGAAGCTCCTCCCACCTCTTTCTACTTTAGCAGAGCGAACGTTGAAAAGGAGGTCACCTCTTCTCCAGCTTTCGCTCTGCTAGAGTGGAAAGAGGTGGAAGGAGCTCGCGCTTGGTTGTTGACCTGTCACCGATTATAGACCGTTTCATTGCGCTTGCGGCCTGAATATCCATCGAGACGGAAGATCCAACGAGTCGAAAGATCCAATTGGTCACGTGACAGGCGAGACGGAATATCCATCGAGACGAAATGTCCAATTGAGACGGAATGTCCAACGAGTCCGAATGTCCAACGAGACGAAAGATCCAACCAGGTCTGAATGTCCACCGTGACTGAATGTCCATCGAGATGGAAGATCCAACCAGGCCTGAATGTCCACTGCGACTGAATATCCAACGAGACAGAATATCCAACGAGGTCTGAATGTCCACTGAGGCTAGATATCCAATGTTCCATGTTCATTTAATTTCTGTAATTTATTGATTATACTGCTCCCAAATTAATAATGATAAGCTAAGACCTTTTTTTTTTTCATCGCGCGTTTTTGTATTTTACGTAAAAGGGCTTGCTGAAATGGTCCAAATTATATTTATCAATGTAAAGAACACATAAGATGCGTGATCTCCGAGGACAGAATAAGAAACGAGTTTTTTTTTTTTTTTTTTTTTTTTGTTAGACCACGAAGGAATGGAATACGCTGCCTAGGGAAAATGTTTGGGCCACAAATGCCGAAAGCCTTTTTCTTAATGTTTGTTCGCCCTCTGCGATAATGCCTGATACTGGCGCTGCAGGCTCACAGTAAATAAATATAAAGCTTAAAAATAACAAAAGCAACCAAAGTCAACACCGAAGCTTTGCAGTCAAATGCACTCCAAAATATATTTTAGTAAGGAAAAAAAAAAAGAAAACCCGTTGCAGACAGAAATTAAAGGGATGCGAGAAACAAAGAGTCTTCAACGCAGCGAAGCATCGTGAACTTCCTAAACAGGGTTCTACACGGAGTCTAAAAAACAAAAGCGACTGTTCCCTCCGAAACCAAAAAGTAAACGTGCAACAAAGAGGTCTTCGAAGCTTTATCTTCAACACATGCACGTCCCATGTCACCCCCCTTCCGGTTTTGGACCAAAGTTCTTTTGTATTGTAGTGACCTCAAATCACTTGCCAGGTTAGAAAGGTTCAATATTTCTGAAACTCAAGACGGAAGTTACAAAGACGGGACAAACACAAGGCGTCTCGTCTTGTGTTTGTTTTCTCTTTGTAGCCTCCGTCCTGGGTTTTAGAAATGTTTAACTTTAACCAGCTCGCCTGCCTTCTTACGTTATCTTAGGAAGATTCGCCCTTGTTCTTTGTTCGATATAACAATGGTACAACACCACCTGATGGGTTCAAACCTTGGACCGCAGACAAATGAAACCATCCACTTACAAACAATGCTTGTTCCGGGTCGACATTTCACATGGCTATATAAAGGACTGCTATTTCGCCACCTCCTTCTGTCAGAACCCTGAGCTTCGTCTTCTCCAAATCACTGACACGCAAATACGGTGAGTGTTGTTTTTATCGTTCGATTATTAATCTGTGTCTACTGCGACACCAAAGTACTGTAATTGCATCTAAAATATTGTAGTTATTACGCCTATGTACTTTGAGCTGTATACAAATAATCACTGTTAGCTATTTATGCAGAGAAGTAAGGTCTTGGAATTTGAAAATTTCAAGACACATGAGAGGCTCAAGTTTCTCAAGTGCAATTCGAAGTTTCAAGTGCCCCTCGTCTGATTGTATGTGTCGCGTTTTGATTACAGGCTGCAGCGTACTCGCTGAGCCAACGAGATGAATCCTGCGCACCTGGGTGTCCCAACGTTCGTGCCTTCTCACAAGCGCTCAAGCAAGCCAGTCA